CATGAATGCTTAGAAAGAAATTTGCTCTGGATATTTTTTAACTAAGTCTCTAATTTTGGTCTTGCTGCTGTAACTTTGTGTGTCTTATTTTAGCGCCGTATTCCCTGAAGTGTAAATGAAGCATACTTGAGAGATTTAATGTCTCAGAAATGGGGTTCAAATTTATTTGTGCACTCATGGGCAGAGCACAATATGTCAGGGAGTATATGAAAAGCAAGTTCTTTTTTTTTAAGTCTGCCTCCAGACTGGCAAAAAAAATGCCTGATGAATTTCTTTGGCTCTGTCTGATCTCTTCCACCTGTCTGCATGGAGCATCATCAGCATGCTAGAGATTAGTTCTTCTGAAAAGATATATTGTTGAGAAGAGTGAAATTCCTGTAAAGAGCTCTTAAGCAACTGGTAGTACAGTCGCAGTTTGGCTTTATTTTTTGTGTGAGAGTTCTGTATCTTTTAGCCAGCCTCTCCTACCCCCAAATCTGTGTTGTTTTGTTCTGAATTCCATAACTGGAGCTGCCTGGCAGTCAGGTCTGTTTGGAAGGTTTTCTGCAAAATCTTGTGTGATGTAAGATACTTCCTGTTCTTTCCAAGTCCATAGGGCTAATACATAGATTCTAGCATTGGTAGTTCTCATAGGCAGATTAATGCTATTTTGGGAGATGCAAATGTCCATAGCAATTAAGGCAGTTATAAGGCAGAGATTGTAACACTGGCTTCAGAAGGGTGTTTCTCCATTGTTTCTAGCATTTTTGTGATCTAAATGAGACAGGTGATTCCCATGTCTTAACAGACATCGTCTCCTGATACAAACAATCACACAGCTGGCCATAGGTTCTTAGAGTGTAATATCCAGAATTTGTGGAGATCCTCACAAGCATTTAAATGGTGTAATAATGTGAAGGTCATTATAGAGCAGCAGTATGGATTCTGAAATTTACCCTTTAAAATTCATGTACATGTTTACTGTTGAATATTCTTCTTGCCTATTGGAGGATGGATATGTGGCTACTGAATGAAGGGCCAGGTTTGTTCTCAATTCAGTGAAGTTGCTCCTGATCTACACTGGTGTATCTTCAGTACAAATCAGGTAGTTATTCTAGTCCTGGAGTCAGTTGTAGCCTACTTCTGTCACAGCATTTGAGATTCCTACACAGGCAAGAATTCTGTCTATATATAGATATTTTAGAAGAGTTACTGGATATTTGTTTCTCACTGCAGACAACAGTGATTCATATATGTGTTATGTAACTTTTGGGGGTATTTTTCTTCCTTTTCATTTAGTAATGCAGTAATTTAAATGCCAACAATGCCAAGACACCTATTTTTTTTTTTTTTTACTTTATTTGACACAGATTTTTCTCTAGAGTATTTAATGGTTCATGTATTTTAGATTTATTTCAGTATTATTTGTTCTTGGGGTTAGCTTCCCTTTTTACTACCTAAAGGATATACTTTAACTCTCACACTGCAGAATTTCTACTGTTAACGGACATCAGGTTTTTTATAGTACTATGTTTATGTAGTTCCCTTATTCCTAATCATGTTGGCTTGATTCAAGAGGACAGAATAATACTAACTGTGATTTTTTTCCCTCCCATTAAGTTTTTAATCCTCTATGGCTTTGAAAGTGTGGACGTCTCGGAGATGCAGGAAAAAATGCGTAGGCAGATGCATGGTTTAATGACCTCACAGACTTGCAGAAGTCACTGTGCAAAGAATATTTACAGTATGTGAACTCCCTGGTGCTGGCAGACTGATGAGCCTCCATCAGCTGAACTTGAATTGCCAGGCAAGAAAAACAAGGGAAAGATGGGTCTTGCTTAGGTTTGTGTGAAGACAGTAATGTTGAATAAAGGTGTCAACTATATTAGATTTTAGGGCTCCCATTTTCAAAAGATTGCTCACAGAGTTCTGATGTTATTTCAGAACAATAGCTTGTGGAAGGTAAGAGTTCCATAGCAAATCTATCTAAACAGGCATAGATTGAAGGGGTTGCTAAAACAAGACGATATGAAACTGGTGTATTTGCACATTCTTTGGTCTGTTCTTAACTTCCAGAGAGATTCAGAAAATAAATGAATGAGAAAAATAATTGTGCAAAGAGGTGGAAGTTGAACACTTTGAAAAAAATAGAAAATTAATTGGGCTATTACTTTATCAAAAAGAAAAATACCAGGCAAAGGGAAGCAGAAACTAATTTGGTTTTGGTGCAACTGTAGCAAGTGTCCAAAGAAAAAGCCAAGAACAGGAAATAAATTCTGTACATGGAGAGAAATATGATGCAGTGGGGATAAATGAAGCACAGTGAAATAAGGAAGTGAAGTTAAGGTGTTGAAACATCAAGGTAAAGTATTAAAGAGAGTAAGAATTTGGAGAATAGATGGCAAAATAACATCTGGCCAGGTTCTCAAACAGCTGTGGAGCTGCAGAGTGACTGCAGGTATCTTGTCACTTCTGTGATATGTCTTCAGCAGCACAGAAGGGCAACATGTTAAACTGAACTGAAACTTTAATTATTCTATAGGAGTGGCAGGAGGTCAATAATATTTATAATATGAACATTTGTGACAAATCAATTGTATAATGAAAGCAATTATAACATCATTAGAAGTCTGATAAACCAATAACTCTGTGATAATTACTTTTCAGTTACAAGAAATAATTTACCACAGGAGATGCTGGAAAACAATATATGAACCTTGTTAGCTGTAGTCACATCTGAGGCATATGTGCCATTTAATAGCAAGTTTGAATCCCATCATTCATTTGAACATGGTAGATTTTTGCCAAACAAGGCCTGTATTTGGAAAGGTAGTTACACATATGTATGGGTCTTTGGGTCCGTTAAAAATTTGAGAAATATAAATTTCTTGTCTCATTGAATAGCAGGATGATGTGGGTTTTTGACTTGGCTTTTTTGTCAGATCAGCATGTGCAGTGGGGCGAGGGGATTGTGAATAAGTGCTTGAGAGCAGAGGATGAGAGTGATAGTTTGCTTTTCTAGGAGTGATTAGCTAGGACACAGGATTATAGCCAACATGAAATTTTAACACATTTCAGTTCTGAAAAGTGACCTACAACTGTAACTAACTTTTGACATGCATGCCTCACTTTCATTTATTTAACCTCTGTAGCTGAACAAACTGATTCCTTGAAACTGTGCCTGGGAAACAAATACTGAATTATGGTCTGAAACTAATAGAATCACAGAAAGATTTGGGTTGGAAGGGCGCTGTAAGATCATCCTGTTCCAAGCCCCTGCTATGGCCAGGGACACCTTCTGCTATCCCAGGTTGCTCCAAGCCCCATCCAGCCTGGCTTTGGACACTTCCAGGGATGGGCCAGCCTCAGCTTCTCTGGGCAACCTGTGGCAGTGAATATTATATGATTTATTATTTATGAAACTGTCCTGTTTGAATAAAGGACAATCCTTACCTTTCAGAACAGTTTTTATTCCAGAGTTTCGATCATGATAAGAAAAAATTTTTAGTCCTACAAATTTAGGTGGGGCAGTTTCTTTATGTCTTCCATGACCAATCCTCCTTCCAGGGAGCTATCTTTTGTTCATGGGCCATTGAGTGTCACTGCAGGACTGATAAAATTCCATCATCCCATTGGGAAATGCTCCACCCAGGGGGAGGAGCCAAGCATTCCTACCTGGATATAATCTGAGGTCTGGAACACCACAGCAGCCTTTTCCCACTGGATTCCCAGAGGAGCAGCTTTCTTCTCCACTGGATTCCCTGAGGAAGACCAGGCCCATCTACACCACCACTGGACCTTCATGGCAAAACTACGCCCTTCTACAGGATCACCGCTGCAACAGAACCACACTTGGCACTGCAGGAGAACTGCAGCCACCATTTAATCAGAGTGTTACCAACACCATGACCCACAGGGTGTCAGGTCGTGTTCTGTCACTAAGTTTTGGGTTTTTTAGTACTATTGCATTTGTATTTTAATTTTCCTAGTAAAGAGCTGTTACTCCTATTCCCATGTCTTTGCCTGAGAGCTCCTTAATTTCAAAATTATAATAATTCTAAGGGAGGGCAGCTACATTTTCCATTTTAAGGGAGGCTCCTGCATTCTTTAGCACACACCTGTCTTTCTCAAACCAGGACACGGCCCTTGGTCTCAAAGTTACACATAGGCTGTGTTTTTGCAAATGGTTGTTTTGGAAATGCTTAAATGCTTTACATTTATGGCACACCCTATTTCTTGCTTTTTCCTCTGTCTTATCTCCAGATTTCATTGTTATTTTTTCCCATTGGGTAGCTAATTGTAAGAAGTAAATTATTAAAAGCCTGTAGAGCCTATAGGAACCCATTAAAAGCCTTGCCCCCTGGTGAGGATTTTCTGCTGCAACTTTCAACTGAGATTTGTCACTTAATCAGTTTTTAATTTGATTAGCATGTGATATGTGTTTTTCCATTTCAAGATCTCAGTCAACATTTCAGTAAGTACAAGGTCTAATTTATCGACATAAAATGCTAACTACATCAAGCAATTTTCTTTTTAATATGAACTTTTAATTTCATCAAGTTAGTTGAGATGCTTTTCCCTTAGATACATCCTGGTTGGCATTAATTATTTTACCATACTTTAATTCTTTGTTTATGAAGATGTAACTAGATTGCAGTTTATTTGTGCAAACTGTTTTGTAGAGTGGAAAATAATAAAGTTAAGATTTCTGAAAATAATTCCTTTTTCACTCTTTTTTCAAACTGATTCAGTTTGAGGTTATAGGTATTTTGTTGGTTTCTTTCTTCTTTGGTGTTTTTTAGGTTGTTTTTTTTTTTGTTTGTTTGTTCTCTTTTTTGTTTTGGGTTTGTTTTTTTCTTTCTTTTTATTGCATCTTCTGGCACTGAATCAAATGTCCTACTAAAGGTGCTAACACTGTCACACTTGGAGTAGAGTACTTAGTACTATGAGGGATTGGGATTAGCAAAGGACATAAATGGAACTTTTTTTTCTGAATAGTAAAACTTTTTGGTTTTTTACAGGTGGTGGAAAATTGGTCACAGGAGTTGCAGGCCACTGTTGGAACATTTATGACTGAGGTAAGAGCCTTGTCTCTCCTTCCTTTTTGGTACTGTAAATGTGATATGTTTGTTTAGACAAAAATGTGTGTGTGATTTCCTTGTGGTAGTACCAAACTGAGAGATGTTTACGTTTTTTCCCCAAGTTCTGTGACAGCAGGTTTGAAAAAGATAAACTTAATTCCCAGATATTTATCCTCTCTTATAGCACTGAATTAACTGAACTAAAAATTTGCATATAGCTTCTGGTTATCTAAAATATTTCTGTCTCCCTGAGGCCCCCTACCCACCCCAAAAATGTATGTTTATGAGTTTTTGCTTACCTACTCTAAAACTAGTAAGAAATGGTTTTATGTCTCTGTGTCCTGGGGTGATGTTATGGTACTGTGTCCCCTGTTGTCTTCTTTATGCCCAGATGTGAGTCCTGTACCTCTAAGCTCAAAGGGGAAGGAATTCTTTAGCCCTAGGTTCAAAAACAAGCTGTGATTGTACACTGTGGTATTCAACAAAGACTGTGGTATTTCTTTTAGAGAAGACACCCTTTTCAGAATGTTTCCTCCTAATTTGTTTCAAAACTGAGATTCTCTGATACGACATGACTTTTTAGATTACTCAGTGCATTAAAACTGTTCTGAATTTTTGAGTGTAAAGCACTGCTTGGATCAAAAATCAGGTAGAGAACCATAGTGAAAAGTGGTAAACTGTGTAAAGCAGTAGCCAAATTTTGAAGGAACTTCAGCCAGTGGAAGATCCGAATCTGCTTGGCTGGCATAAATTAAGTCAGTGGAAAGAGTGCCTGGATGCTCCCTAAAATGCTTTCAGGAAAAACTGTCATGGGTCAGCTTCACATTTGAACCATTTCACATTCGTTTCCTTGTAACATTTTTAAGGAATCTAAAGGTGTGATGCCACTGTGCTTTTGTGTTAGTTGAAAGGGCAGATGAGTCGTGTTTGTTTCGGATATGTGAGTAGTACTTTGACAGAAATTGATGTGAGCACAGAGCTTTCAGTGTGAAATTTAGTATCAGCTCATACTCAGAAAGTCTTTCCTGTGTGTAATGGTTGTTCTCTTCACTGTGGTGTGTTTCCAAGACGTTGATTTCCCTGCAGAGTTGATTGTAACTGTGGCCACTTAGGCTAATGTCCAACAGTGGAGGGGAACACTGAGATACTGAGATTCCCCCACCAGCAGGAGGAGATCAGTTTTGCTTAGGATGCCTTTTTTAAACAGCATTTATGGCTAAGGATCAGCTCACAGCAAAGGGTTGCTGCACATCTCCCCATGCATCCTGTGGTAGCACACAGCGCTGGAAATGGTGAGGAACAAGTTGCCATGCACTGTGTACCATGTGATTTCTCCCTCTGAGCAGATTTTTTTCACAACTTTTATCTTACCAGAGGTTTAAAGTCAACTTTGGCAACCTGTTCTTTATTATCTAATTTCTGATATTTCTTGTGTTACAATGCTAATGTGGGCACCTGAGATTCTACAAGCTGAAGCTGGTGTTAGCAATGCAATTATATATAGTATCAGCTCAAATACTTACCACAGTAATATGGTTCTGTGTTTTGATTTTATTCCTAGTCCATTTTTCAGCCTCTCTTTTGAATGACTGCAGACTGATTTACTATTTGCTCGCACTGCTATTGGATTTCAAAGGACACCACAGTAGGGAAAACTACTGTGAAAATAAAACATTTGTGTTTTTAATTAAATGAAAATGGTAGGAAATGTAAAGCTTTTAGATTAAGGATACATAATTAAGTCTATATGGACTTTTTTGTATTCATTTAAGTTCTGTGTCCAGTATGTGTGAAGTGACCAAGTTAACCACATGTCCTTTCCCCCCTCTCCCCTCATAGGAGCACCCTCTCTTCAGTGCTACTAATCCTGAGGTCTCAGGCATTTATTTGATTGGAACTGAAGCAGCCCCTACTACCTGTGAATTTCTTTTTTTGAAAAAATGACAGGAGCTTTTTAAAAAATGGTTCTAAAACATTAAATCTGTTCTATTTCTTCATCCTTTTTGAAAATTCACTTCATTTTAACATGAGTAAGTAGTGAGAGTTTTCTGCCTTCAAAACCCTTTTCCATTCATATTCTGTGCAAGAGAAACATTATGTGAGCCTGAATTGAGGGCAGGACAAACTTTGAAATGAGAGGCCAAACATGAAGCTTAAATAGAGCCACAGAATGGTGTGTAGGCTTTAAAGCATCTCCAAAAGTCATTATGTCTAATTTTGAACTCACATGCAAGCCAGTTGACAATGTTGCGCAGTAAAGTCACTATTCAGCTTGAAGATTTATATTTCTTTGGTTTTGTGGCTTTGTTGTTCCTCTTCAATTTTGACATGGAATTTGTTATAAATGGGATTGTTTGGGGACAAGAATTACACTTTACTCAGGGAAACCTACCAATTTTTTGGAACCAAAGAATTTATCATCCAGCTTTTGTCACCATACTCAGCTACAGCCTAAGAGAGCTGTGTTAACCCAATTACTATCCTGACCAAGGGACAGCCAGCCCTTTGTGTGGAGTTCACCTCCTTTTTCATCACCCATAGAGTCTGAAGAGTACTGAGCAATCTCTAAGTTGGTGCATTGTAATCAGACATCAGCATCCAGATTTCTTACCTGGACATCTCACGCATTTTTCTCACTCCCATCTGGTTCATATGGAGCTATTTCATCCAGTTGCTATAGCAACCACTTTCTGCTCCATTTAATTTTTATTATATAAAGTGTACTATTAAATACTTGATAATGGTGTATTTCAGGATTTAAAGTTAGGTGATGTAATTTATGTAAGTGTTAGAGAATAATTCTAGATGATATCTACTCACACTGTCCTCTGTTCAAACAATGCTTCATGACATTTAGATAAAGGGCTTCCAGTATCCTGCAGTTTTTACTGGAAGCTGATGGCTGGTTAAGAAGGGCCACTGTGGGAGATGTGCACAATCAGTATGGACAATAGAAGGAAATCTACTGTTGCTATTACTCATCCTCACTGTCTACTGTACACTTCCAGTTTTCCTAGTAATCATGACATGGTTTCCTTGTAGTTAAAATTACACAGTAGTTTGTACTGTACTCCTCAAAGAAAATGTAACCAGGACGGTACAGAATCTAGGTGTGGAGTTCAAGGAGAATGACAGAAGATGATGTGACCAACATTCTGTTTAAAGGCTTAAGGCACTTAAAACTGCTTTGGTTGCTATGCTGTAATTAATAGAAGGTAGCCAAAGGACACTCTCTTAGACAAATGGATTCAGGGTAATTGAACAATGGACAATCTCAGTTTTAAAAATATCAGTTTATTGCTGACAGTTAGGGTCAATAGGATCTGTATTTAGCACTTCCAGCAATCACGTCTGACAACATTATTCAATGCAGTAAGTTTGTCTGGCTAATGTCAAGGCAACAATTTTGTTTATGTAGAATAAGCTGCTGATTAGAATTTTTTTCTGGCTCCAAGTCATTTGGATGAGTGATCTAGTCTTGCATGTAAAAGTAATTATTTTTTCCTTACTAGCAGATCTCACAGTTTGCCTTTATGCTACTAAGTTTTGTTGCCATATTTGCAGTAAACTCTACAAAATCAAAATACTTTTGGGGCAGACGAAATGCTGCGGCTAATCTGAATGCAGACTTTCTTCATGTCTTAAGCTATGAATTGCAGAAATTAAGTCCTTGCCATGGGTAGACAGAGACACAATTAGTTACACCAGTATTAGTAAAGAAGAAACAACTTTAAATGTATACAAATAAAGAAACCAGCAGCAAAATTCTTGGCTAAAAAGTTTTGATCTTGCCAGTGCTTTTAATATGGCAGCACAAGACTTCTTGCCTGGTTAACATTATCGTGTGTGAACAGAAATCTTGATCCAAGAGCTGGAGAATGAATTATTCAGCACTGAGGAGAAGCAGCAAAAAAAGAAAGTTCAGCCAAAGTTCAGCAACCTGTTAGGAAGGAAAGTCTAGATAGGAGTTGTGTTTGTGTTCTGCCCTGTGACCTTGGGCAAGTAACTTTGTCTCCAGCTTTGTCCATTATTTCTCCTACCATTTGCTAGTCTTGGCTACTTAACCCATAATCTCTCTGAGGCAAGGATTGTGCCTTGCCACAGGAGCCCTGATCTTAGTTGAGGCTTTAGCATATCACTGCAAAGCAGAGAAGAGCTAGCACAGTTTGGAAGCTGAGAGAAGTAAATAGAATAGCTGCAGCAGTAGTTTGCCCTTTATCCTGGCAGTAGTACATATGCATGCCTAGCACTGACATGGGAAAATGAAGGCCAGTTGTACTTGTAACATTAACGCACTTCCTAAAATTGTAATAATGTATTTCTTTTAAAGAGTCATTCTGGCAGCCTGATTAAGCACCATTTAGCTTTAATGATCAGTTTGATGTTTGTTCTGAGCAAGACTTGTTGGCTGCTTCAAGAAGACTGAAGTTGCAGTTGTGTTAGACTAGGATAAATTAGGGAACTGAAGTGCAGGGGGACAGAACAGGGTGCTGAGAGGTTGCTTTTTCCAAGCTCCTTGCAGATTTTGGAGATTTGCACCATTCTCCTTCTGTAGAGTTTTTTCATACCTTCTTTTTGCATATCATCCCTGTTGTCCTATTGAAACTTTGAGCTCCTTGTGCGCCTTTCCGATTGAATCCTTTGCACAGCACAACTCTCTCTTACTAACTTCTGTCAGTATTCTCCACATCCCAGTGTCTCAGAAGAATGCAGCTGTTAAATACATATTGGGGATAAACTGTTTCATATTCACAAATGTAGGGTTTAATTCAGAAAAACAACAAAAAATCCTATGCATATTGCATTTTTACAAAATAGGGATTGGTTCCAGCCAGACCCCTTCAGAAGAAATCAACTAAAGCATATTAAAATCTTTGTCAAATCCCGGCCAAACAAAACCCAACAAAACTAAGCAGATGTAGCTCCTCAGAATATCTCTGTCTCCTGTGTGGAAAGCTACCTTTTAAGTAATGCTTTAACCTTGGCTCTTTGTATAT